ACATGGTCCATAAAGAGAGAAACACCAATTCCGAGAGACCCTGCTAACAATGTGGCCACCACTCTATTGATGCATTTGGAGAATGTGGCTCCTGCATCACATGGTGGAAAACACGATCGTTCAATTTTTCAGGAAACTAGGGTTTTGGGAATCATCTAAGGAGATGTATTAGGTTTGAGTTTTACAGTATATATGTATATATATGCATGTTGTGGATTGGCATGAATGGGATAAGATTGTATATTACCAATATTGGAGTCAAAGACAACGACAACGGTCATAATAGCCCACATAGCATTCCCTCCAACACCTTCATACAAGGGTCTCAAAATTTATATACATACAAATATATAAATATATATGTGTATATTTATATATATATATATACAAATACAAATATAAACATATATATATACAAATATATATACATATACATATACATATATACAAATATATTTACATATGTGTATGTGTGTATATATAAATATATTTGTATATATATATATATTTGTATAAAATTCCAATTTATACAATATATATTTTTTAAAATCTATACGAAATTTAAATTTATATACATACAAATATATAAATACATATATATGTTTATATATGTATTTTTTATTTTTTATTTTTAGGAAAATTTTTATTTTTTTAATTTGCGCTGACATGGCAAAAAATTCTACGTGACATGCCACGTGAGTCGCCACGTGGTATACCACGTGAGTCGCCACGTGGCATGCCACGTGAGTCGCTACGTGGCATGCCACGTGAGCCGTCACGTGGCCTTCCACGTCAACAATTAATTGATAATTTTAGATTATGTAGTTAATTGTACTAAAATTAGATAATTCATGTAGATATTTAGAAAATTTGTTAATTAAGTATAGATATTTATCAAATTAAAAATTCGTAAAAAAAAATATCACATTTTGATAAATTCACATAGGAAAATGTCATTTTCCCTTCCAATGGGAAGCGAAGAAAAGTATCGATGGGGGCCTCTATCATAAGTACGGTGCATCTTCCTTCCATCTATGGGGTCCACATGTAACAAATTCAAAATAACCACTCAATTTTCACCGAAATTACATCTTTGCCATCGCATCAAACCGTTGATATTGGGTTTCACGGCAACGGAAGTGTACCACGTAGCAGCTGATTATAACGGCAGTGTACGTTATAGGAAAATGTAATTTCAAAAGGGGAATTAAAAAGAGAGAATTCATTTTCGTTACATCCACTTAACCTCTTCCTTCCAACCAAAATAATAATAATAAAATTAAAAGTGGAAAAACCCTAACGCCTGTGGTGATATTTTGGCGGAGGAGGAGAGAGAGAGATAAAACTCCTTTTGTTCTTCGTCAAACCGGTTTCTCTCTCTACGAATCAGCGGACGAATATTTTCCCTCCTTCAATCTATCGACAATGACATGGGATTCTTTCGACATGGATGATCTTCTGAACTTCTCCGACCCCGAGGAGGAAAACGTCGACGCGGACGAGAAGCGGCCGCCGGCAAGGAAAAAGATTCTTCGGCCGGCGGATTCATTCGGCCTTGTTGACCCCGGAGACCCCGTAAGTCTCGAAACCTTGTCCGTTCCGTTTCTCTCTCTCCCTCTGTACGGCGAGAGAAGAATGTTTCGATAGCCATTTTTGGTCCGACGGATTCGACTCGGCGGAGGCGACTGAGTCACGGCCTAGTTATCTGGTGGTGGGGCTGGTTGGCTCAGCCGGGTCAGAAGTCGGGGAAACGCGTCTTCTTTATCCTTGGTTGGTTTGACGTGCACGTCATGTGGTGGGTGGGGGCGTTGCCTGCCGGTTCGTTCCGATTGAAACGACGCCTTTGCCCTTGGTGCATCTTTTGGAAACTCGTCAAACCCATGGTTTTCGAGCCGGGGTTATTGGAGGGTATTTTTGGAAAATGGTAAATATTCCGGTTGGGTCATTGTTCATGAGCTGTTTCTCACGTGATGGGTGAGCCACCACAATAAATTTCAACTTTATGAATTTTCTTATTATTCCCGCACCTATTTTTTATTTCTATAAAAAATCGATTCAGTGAATGACAAAATTGCCCCTCCTTTGTCCTCACCCACCATTAACTCGGCGGGCAACTCACGACCCCCCACGTCGCGTCCGAGGCACAGGGTCAGCTTGAACGTGTTATTGAGTTAACTCGGTCTGACGGCTTTTTCTTTCGTATAATTATAGAAAATTGTTGAGGAAGAGGACTTGGAGTGGATTTCGAACGAGGACGCATTCCCTCTGTTCGAAACATTCGTCGAAGCATTGCCGTCTGACCAGCGGCTCCGCCTCATGTCGTCGGAGAACGTGGCGGCGTTTCAGTTCAGTCCGATTACCGTACTCGAGACGAGGAGCTGTAGCTCTACCAGTCTCACCTCGACGACGACAACCACAACCACCAACAGCAGTGGCTCGTGTGACGGAAGCGAGGCGGCGACCGCAGGTGGCTCTACGGCCATCATGAGCTGCTCCGGAGGCCTCAACGTTCCGGTGAAGGCTAGGAGCAAGCGCCGCCACCCGACACGCGTCGACCTCCCCAGTGTGTCGACGCACCACGTGGAGACGCCACCGAGGAAGAAGCGGGCTTTGGATGCGTCGGGGAGGAAGTGCACGCACTGTGGTTCGGAGAAAACGCCGCAGTGGAGGGGGGGACCGGCGGGGCCGAATACGCTGTGCAACGCGTGCGGCGTCAGGTTCAAGTCCGGGAGACTCGTGCCTGAGTATCGGCCGGCGAACAGTCCGACGTTCTCGCCGGGGTTGCATTCGAATTCTCACCGGAAAGTTATGAAACTGATGATGCAACGGCAGCAAGTAGGAAAGTCGTCATCGCCGGCGACCAGGAAGACTGTGAATAAAGGGTAGGACGGTTTTGTTCTTTTTTCGAACCTTTTTTTAAAAAATATTTTTAAGGTCTTTTTAGGATTTTGTAGTTTGGATTTAGTTTTTTTTTCGGTAATTAGTGAATGAATCGAAATAGTAATCCTCTTGTTCGGATGTTTGTATGATATTTTTTCAAAAAGAAAAAAGAAAGAAAAGAAAGGCCACATTGCTTGTGGATTTTTTAATGTAAAATCTTTTCACATGCATATGTATTTATTTATTTATATGTTGGTAGTGAATCTTCAAACACTCAATTATCTATCTGGAAAGATATTGGTTGCAACTTTTTTAAAACATATAACTGGATTTAAATACAATCTATTATGGAAATAACTGATTTTAACGAAAACTTTTAGAATTTTTCTAAATATAATTTTTATTATAAAAGGTTTTAATTGCTTTTTAAAGGAAAAAAGAAATTCGAAAACTAAAAAAACTGAGTCGAAAAATCAAAAAATCCAAACCAAGAATCAAAACTCGCTCGAAATGTTTATACTTAGATCCGATGCTTATTTTAGAGTAATTGTCACAATGTGAATATACTTTAAAGAAAACATGTTTTAGTATTGGTTTTTAGGATGAATTATGTATAAATTATATTGATTGCAAGTACACAGTAAAAAAATCTAAAAATATGTGGGGAAAAAAAATTGAAAGATGATAATGATAAGGGAAGTTAATGATAGTTTTCATTCTCCTAATTTGTTTTTTTCTTTAATTTCTAATGATTTTTTATCCGCCATTAGTTGTGATGCAACTAAAGTTTTAGTTGGGAATTACATTTACATTAAAATTAAAATAGCTTATAAGCCCATAAAAGTGGTACCATATAGATCATCTATCTATGTAGGATATTGTGAGAGAGAGAGAGAGAGAGAGAGAGAGAGAGAGAGAGAGAGATCAAATACCAAAGGATGGGCCTGCTTTTCATGTTGGGCCTCAACTAATAATCCCTCACCCCAAACCCAACTCTCCTTTTATTTATTTTTGTTTTTTTTTCCTTCTCTCTTCAAGATTATTCAGGTACATTAAAATTGAATAATAAATTTAAAAAATTGATTGACATAATTATTTGCGAATCAAATCAACAGAATAGAAACTAAAAGTCAAATCAGATATGAAAATTACAGAAAAAATTAGTCGAAAACGAAAATATCTTTAATTTTTAAAAAAATGAAAACTTAATCCAAATCGAATTTGAACAATATCTAAACCGAATTAATTCTGATAAAACTAAAAGGATATATTTTTCCAAAATCAAAAGTTGTAAATTCGAAAACAGTTGAATCAAAATCTGAAATATTATACATTGATTTTTACTTGATCAATAATTTGTTGATACACACAATCTTATTAAATTAAATTTAATATATATATCCAAATAGTAAAAATACAAAGCCATGATCATTAATTAATAGATATGTATGAACATGTTAGTAGTGGTAAAATTGATAACATGAATATATATAGATACAGATAAAATGTGCAAGTAAGAATTATCCACTGTGAATGATATGGCATTCCATAAGAGAAGTGGATGTAGAAATCAGACACAATCCATGAAGTGTCTCCATCGTCGATTCCATGTCTGAAAACAAAAACACTGAGTTGTTGCTTTTCATGAACATATATACAATATATATATATATATATACTTTTTTTTTATGAAAACAATATATACACACGTATGTATATATCGATCGTATATGTAGAGTTGTTGCTTTGTGATACGCTCAAGTATTTGAGAGTCCGACATTGATGTTTCCTTTCTCCAATCTTAGCTGCTTCCATAATGGGGGTTTCCATTATGATGAACCAAAACCAAAATGGGTTCGATAGTTGTGGGTCAAGACAAATATTTCAACTTGGTTTATTTATTTATTTTTTTAATCTAAAATAAATTCTCCTTCTATTTTACATTCGGATATTTTTATAACTTGAAATTGCTAGAAATATTTTTTTAGTAATTAATAAATTGGACCTATAATTATAAAAAAATTTCTAGACCCATTTATATAATAACCATAGTATTTTACTTAATAAAACCATTGTAAATGTAGTCAATGTGATGAAGTAAACTAATTTCTGAATCCAAGACAGTAAACTAATTTCTTCTTCTTCTTCTTCTTCTTCTTCTTCTTCCCAATTGTAATTAACGTTTAGTTTTTAAAGGCCATAAATTATATCATACAGAATAGTTAATATTGCATTTAAGCTTTGAGATTGATGATGATGACTTCACGAGTAGTGAAATACAAATCATCAGAACAACACAAGATGAAGTTTATATGTATATATATTATATATATATAGAGAGAGAGAGAGAGATGTTTGATTCAAATCTAGACACACCACTATCTTTAGATAAAAGGGTAGAAATATATATATATATATATATATATATATATATATATGTATGTATATGTATATATAACAATGATTTAGACCATGATTAGGACAAACAAGTACAATATCCGAGGGTTATCTTTTCCTATAAGAACATGCATATTAGTAAAATCAATACTATACGATCATCTGATGCGTGATATTGAAATACGAGTCAAGAATTCATATATATATATATGTGTATATATATAACACAACATTTAAAACCAAGAGAAATCCTTGATCCAATTAACTTCATCACTACTAAAATAGAAACCATCATCTCTAACCAACCAAGAACACTTCCTAGTCAAACCGCATCGTCGACTGTCCCTCGGAGCCCTGAACGCGTCGAAGCTCTTCCTCCTGGAATCCCATTTCGTGGTACACAAGTACTCTCTTGCTCCCCACAACTCAATCCTGACCGTCCATCCGAAATCATCTCCCTCCTGAAGCGCACGACCACCGAGATCACCCCGCTCCGTGGAGCACCAGATCACCAGAGGAAGTGACGAGTTGTCTCTAAACCCGTTTATGACACGGACGTCGAACTCCATCCCAAGTAACATAGCCTGCGGTTGAACCATCGACGTGAATACGATCGTTAGAGAGATGAAGAGAAAGAGAAGAATGATTCTTATTGCTGCAGTTCTCATGTTGCTTCTCTCTCTCTCTCTCTCTCTCTCTCTCTCTCTCTCTCTCACGTGTTTCTTAATCTGTAACAACTGAATATGCAGATAGATATAGATGGTATGCTCCTAATGTAAAAACGATATAGACATGCATACATATATACATATATATGTATGTATATGCTTGTAAGGGAGTGTTAGTGGCGCCAGATACTTTTCCTTGGGAAAAAAGCATTGGCATTGATAATACTACAAATTTTATTTTAGTGCTTATATATGAAATAAACCAAATAGATTTTGGTAGACCCAATTTGGTTAGATAGTTATCATGAGGATTGTTTCTTCAACATCTTTTAGTTTAATGTTATATATGAGATATTTGATATATTCGAAGGCATGGCTACCTATAGGTCCAAAAAAACGTGTCAATGTCGGTGCAAAAGTAAAATCGAAATCAAATGAGTTAATGGATTATGGTTATAATTAATTAATGAAAGCAATACCCTTTCAGAAGAAACACGCGTCCAATTGATTGGAATACACATGTATATATAACCAAAAAAGAAATATAATGAAAGATCGATCTTGGCGTTTTGGTAAAATGGAATTAGTGCAGAAGAAAAGTATATATTGTGCCATCACCATCAATGTGCATGTTCATGTTTTGGATAGAGGTGAGAGAGAGGGGATAAATAGTTATATGCTGTATATATATAGATAGGGTTTATCCCTTGTTCACGTCAAACATCAAGAACTCGACCGCTCTTGGATCATGATGACGTCTACATACCAAAATGTCGTGTTAGAGTCGATACAGATTGGTTTTCTTTGAATTATTATTTTAATTTTTTTTTGGGTCATTTCTACAAAGAATTCGAAAAATGGGTTTGGAGGGTCTCTCTCTTGTTAATCGTTAAAAATAAAATTTAAAAAAGAAAAACATTGATATTACACTGAACCACGAACTCGACCAAAGAATATATTGATCTAACCAGTCAACCTCTAATGTACTTCGTCGTACCAAAAAAAACTTGGGTTTGTACGGAAACAAGGACAATTTGTTGTAATTTTTTTCAGACAAGGGTTTACTTCCAAGGTTGGAGCGTCTGTACGCCAAGGAAACTGATGTACGGTACGGTGTTATTAGGTTAGTTCATGAAATCCGTACATACTTAACCGTACACTACTATTGGGATATGAGAGAGACGGTTAGACACTTCACAGAGTTAGCGTTTGTATAATATAACCTATAGAGATAAAATGTTTGGAAATTTTACGCCGTTTTCATCGTGAGATTTAGTAATACGTTTGCATTTGAATGTTGAGGAAGAGCTTTGGTCGGTCGGTCTACGACAAGACAATGCCTCCCCCTTTACTTCGTACACGGATCCATTATCCAACGTGCATTTCGGTTTGGGAATTCAGTTCCAAATCGGTCCCAATCGAAATTGAATCAAACCAAATAATATTTGGTTTGGGAGTCGGTTAACAACTGTTTTGAACCAAACTAATACTAAAACCGTACTACACCGATTAAAATTCGGTCATAATCGTGTCGATATCGATACCCGAGATTCGACTACGCGTGGAATTTCCAAATGTTGGGATGGATATCCACAGATTATCGAGTTGACAAGGGGTGAGGCTAAGAGCGCGTCGGCACGAGTAGTCTCGTCTTGTGAAACCGTAAGGAAAGACGCGAAGGGACAGGGCGAATGGAGAGACTTGCTTCATCGCCTCCGCCCTAAAAGAGCCCTTGAGACAACGAAACGACTAAAGACAACAAAACCCTAACCCATGCCTCATCATCCATCATCGCTCCCTCACCATCTAAGTTCTCTTCGGCACCCGGCACTTTGGAGTCAGTTCAAACTAGAAACAAGGTTATAGCCATCATCAGACCTGAACTGGTCCCGCCAATGGACGGGACCGACGGGTACAGAATTTCGAGTACCCAACTCGTGGACCAAGTCGGGTACTCGAAATTTTGGGTTCCCGTGTCCATCCCTACATCGGAAGCCGTTCACCAAAGCAATCTCGGAGATGAGAAATTCGAGTTCTTGTTCGAAGAGGAGTTAGTGGGTTTTGTGATCGAGTGAGATCCTTTGAGGTTCAACGATTGTCTACCGTGTTGCGGAGATGGGAGGACGATCAAGGTCTCATTTCTCGAACTGGATTGCGGTTTAGGGTTCATCTGAGGGATCCAAAAAGGAAATTCGGCGCGATGGAAGGAAGAAGATGATGGTGCAAAGTTGAAACTAACAGTGATATTTATTCATCACAAAAGCAAAAGTTCATGCCATTGAACCGATCAAAAACCAAAACTCTCCAAACCTGACGACAATGGAGATAGAATTCAGGGAATGAAAACAGTAACGAGGGTCACCAAAAACATCACCTTTTAGTTGATGTGTTATCTCCAGCTTTCTGATAACCCACCAATCTTGAATGTGACGGCTTCAGTTCCGATTGTCTTCGTCTTCTCTTAGCCTTTCTCGATAATTTACTCTGATCATCCTTGCCTTCTTCACCTCCTTCTTCTACAGTTTGCTTCTTCTTCTCTTCAGATTTCGGTTTCTTCTTGTTCTTGTGACCGCTCTTTTTATCCCTGAGAAGCTCCTTGATCTTGAGCTTCTGCTCGTGTTTCTTCGTTTTGGGTAACTTCCACTCCTTTTCCTTGTAAGGAGCAATCTTCTTCAGAGACACAAACTGGTTCAGTTCCCTGTCGTCTAAGGCAAGTACCTCCTCTGTCTCCAACCCGAATCTGTTGGGTTCTACTTTAGCATACTTAAACCTTGTCTTCAAGTCTCCAATCGTATCCTCGTACTCCAGCTTGTAATACTCTTCCATCAAAGCTTCCTTGGCTCTTTGCACGAGTGATGCTTTTCGTTTTCTCTTCCTTTTACTCTCTGTGTTCTCCTCTCTCAGTTCTTCCCCTTCCTTCTCCTCCTCCTCCTCCTCTTCTTCTTCCGCCCCTTCATCCAATTCCTCGTCCCCGATATCGTCTTCTTTCTGCTGTAGTGTCTTCTCTCTCGCAGCTAAGAAACCATCCCCGGGCTTAATAACATCCCAATTCTTTGGAAGTCCGAGTAACTCATCTTCCTTTTCAAAGTCGGGTTTCTCATCTTCATCCTCTTCGTTTCCAAAACCAGAGTCGTCCTCACCATAGTATTCATCATCAAACACGGCTTTCATCATCTTATCGTACTCATCGGGATCAAACTCGTCGTCCAAATCCTTCGGATTGATGGGGCATTCGTCCCCTTCCTTAAAACCGGCAATAGAGAGCACCTTCTTCATCTTCTCCTTGATCTCCTTCTTCTTGACGTTCTTCAGGCGCTTCAGTTCTTCCTGCCTCTCCATCTCTGCAATCCTCAACCTCTCCTCTTTGTTTTTCCTTTGCGCCTTCCTGGGATTCTCCTTATTCCTCACCGAATCCTCCACTTTCCTCGGATAATTCTTTAGCGCTCCTGCATCTTCCTCTTCATGCCTGAAGTTAGTCTCGTACTCCTCTTGCCTCTCCAACTCACCTTCATCCTGCTCCAACTCGTCCAATATATCTTCATCCATCAATGCCTTCTTACCCTTTCCATCCTTTTCCTTCCACATCTGTTTGGTGAAGAAATCTCTCAAGAATTTCGTGTTCTCATCTAGTTCTGCACCCTCCCCAAAATACTCGTCCACTTTCTTCACGAACACATCATCAACCTCCTCAAGATTCTCACTTTTTGATTCTTTCACTGTCAAGAGATCTTCACCGTCATCATCATCCTCGGCCTCTGCCTCCTCCACCGCATCAAGCAAAGCTTTTCTCAGTTCCTCTTGTTCCTCCGCATATGTCTTAACCTTCTCTTCCACACTGACATCAAAGTCTGGACCTTCCTCCATCAAATGCTTTGCCTGAACATCTTTCAATAGCATCTTCTTCTTCTTCTTCTTCTTCTTCTCCTTATTAGCGTCCTTCTCATCCTTCTTACCTTCCTCATCACTCTCGTCCTCTCCACCTTCTTCGTCAGACCCAAAAAGCATAACATCTTTGTTCTTAAGCGAAGGGTCCTGTCTCCTTACCTTGATCAACGAATCGAAGAACTTGAGGTCTTTCACAGGATTCCCAAAATCTTCGTCGGGTTCATACTCTTCGGAAGACTCGTCGGAATCGTCCGAGCTGGAGATGTCACCTCGCTTCTTCCGCTCCTCGTACTTCTGGAGATCCTGGCGGGTCCTGTTGTACTCCAACCTCCGACCGTAATTCTCATCGACCTCGATCTTAGAGATGTCTTCGTTCTGGGAAGAGTCGTCGTCGTCGTCTTCGAACAGCTTCGGCGCCATCTTCCTAGGATTTCAACTGTCCGAAACGGCGGGTCCGTTTCCGAGAGGCTAGGGCTTTTTGGCGAGTCGCGGCTAGGTCTAACTCTTGTGTTTACTTATATCTTGCTTATTTATAATTTGTAAAAAGAACCCTTACAGTTTTAAATAATTACGAATTTGGGCCAAACTCCTTAGAGATTGTTTTCGATCCCACAGTCAATTTCAGAGACTTTTCTTTATACATGACTAAAGCTGAATTCTTTCTTTACTGATTTATGAATTATACAGTTTAAAATCTGACGTTTTCAAAATTTTAAAACTTTATAAATATTTTTTTTTATCGAATTAAGTAAATCTAAACATTTATGATTTGAAGAAGCTAACACTTCTCATCAAGACCCATCTTACTGACAAAATACACAACAAAAGCATGAAGTTGTGGGATACCTAATATGAGCCTGAAAGATAATCAGAACAAGCCAATGAAACCGGAGGGTTTTATTCCTACTTCATTTACAATAAAAAGGCTCATATAATAAGCTTATGGAGAGGCTAAAACCCGAACCCGAAACTCCAAATGCGTGGGAATATCGTACAACTCGAGACGGGTAACTCCCCGTTTTGTTAGCTTAAGCTTTTATTGAGTCGTGACACTCTTGGCGAGGTTCCTCGGCTGGTCTACATTGTGACCTCTCAGAACTGTTAGATGATATGCCAATAACTGCACCATGCAAAACAAGCAACTTGGTTTGTTTTATTTGTGTGCAATAAGATAGAGCAGTCAGAAAATCTGAAATTCGTATACTGGTTTTGACATGAGATGAGATCGGATTTTGTTATTAGGGAGGGAGACCCGAAAATCGGGTTCCGGTGACATGGGTATTGCACACGGGTACCCTAAATTGACCTTTTTACCTCTAGGGTTTAAAGAAATTACGTAAAAGAAAACCTAGGATCTTGAATAAAGCCTCGAAATTTAGAAAATTTTGGGTACCCACTCAAACCCCATAGTGTAAGATAAGTATTTGGAAAAGAAAAATGAAGTTTTGTATTTGAATCTTCGAATATCCGTAGATTCTCGAAAATGATTTCGGGTACCTGACCAAAGCAGTCCCGAGATCGGATAATATCTCATAAGATCCGAGACATTTAGATTCGGGTTCGAATAATCCGAAGATCTCGGATACCCGACACACGTCCAGGCATGAGTAAGTGTGATGGTTTTGCTTTAGCTTCAAGAATGCAGTTTTAAACTGATTCAAGTAGAGATTTACCTGTAATGGAAGGATGTTAACAACGGGTTGAAGACAGTCTTCGACTTGAGGGACCTCAATTGCTCGACAGGATCCGCTGGGGCATACTGAAGCACCATCTCCCTTTGAACACATCACTATTAACCGTCCCTTTCGTGCGTGAAGTTGCTGAATTACCGACTGTTGTTTGCTGTCAACAACTAGGTCATATCCGTTAATACCCGTGAAAATATCTTGGTTCTTGATTTTCGGTTACTCGAATAAACTAACCTGAAACAATTATCCCGAGTAGCTATCACAACAATCGGGAGATTCTCATCGACCAAAGCAAGAGGGCCGTGTTTCATTTCGCCGGCAAGTAAGCCTTCACTGTGCATAAGAGCAATCTCCTTTACTTTCAATGCCCCTTCTAAAGCCGTTGCATAGTTGTATCCTCTGCCAAATACAAGAAGTGACTGCTCATCTATTAGCAGCTTTGCGAGTTCCTTCATTTCCTGGTCTAGCTTGAGTACTTCCCTCGCTTTATCTGTCCAAAAAAAAGGAAGTTCAAACTCCAGTAAAAAAAAAACTAGCAAATTCATTCGGTATTTCTTTTGAATATAGGCCCGATAACAGTTAAGGCGGCATAATTTCTGTATCGAAACTCGTTTTGTATTTTCATCAGAAGTAGTAATGAGAATCAGAGAAATTTCCGAGATTGCTCTCTCTTCTCCTCTGTTTTACCAGTTTTTTCCTCGCCAGCCAAACACATTAGATTGAACCGTGATAATATCTACTAAACTTACTGGGTAAGTCAAGTAGGCCCTCGATTATGGCTTCCCGTCTCGCTTGGTTGGAAATGGTGTCCCCTCCAATGGCTAGAGCTACCATAACCATCACTACAATCTGACTTGTATATGCCTGATAACAAGGAAAGCATATCAGATTTTACCTTCCGAATCCAAAAGGATTAGCCAAAGATCAGAATGAAGAGACCTGTGAGCAATGTTTTATTATTACCTTTGTGCTCGCAACACCAATCTCCGCCCCGGCGTTTATGTGGACACCACAATGAGTATTTCTAGCTATTGCACTCCCGACAGTGTTGGTTACACCGACACATAATGCACCGTTTTTGCGAGCATATTCCAAGGCAAGTAAAGTGTCTGCAGTTTCACCAGATTGACTGACAAAAATGGCAGTGTCCTCTCTGTATATCGGACCTTGTCGGTCCAATAAATCACTAGCAATTTCCATGCTGACTGGAATACCTATTTGTTGCATAGATTAATGAATAATCTTAAATTGGCAAAGTTTATTTAGATCATGAAAGACACATTCACCAAATGAATGACATCAATTACCAGAGAGTTCTTCAAGGATGGGTCTTGATGCAAGAGCAGCATTGTAACTTGTTCCACATCCGATAAAAACTATGCGTCGGCTACGCCTTATTGTTTTGAGGTGATCTTTCAAACCACCGAGGAGGACGGTCTTCGATTTGTATGAACCACCTCCTCGTATAAGCCTGCCTCTCATCGTAGTTGTTAAAGATTCTGGCTGCTCGTGAATTTCTTTCTGCATATAGTGCTCGTATTTTCCCTTGTTGATTTGCTCTACCTCCATCTCAAGAACAGATAATGCGCGTTCCACTGAAGCGGGTCTAGATAAACCACCTTGCCTTCCCTTCTCATTTGCAAACTTGAGGATCGAAACACATCCATCCTGTTAGGTGCAATTAAACATAATGCAAGTGGTGAACCCTTATCGACATTGATCTTTCTTACATTTAATTAATTGGAATTGTTTGCCATAGGCTAGTTTTCATACTGTTCAGTATCCATACTTTCATTGAAAGAACATAAAAATGGCTTGGAACCAAATGCAGATCGAGCAGAAGACACATTGATATATGCAAATCCTTACCTTGAGATGAACCACCTCTCCATCTTCGATCACTAAAACCTTCTTTGTGTGCTCAACAATAGCATGTGCATCACTTGACAGGAAAAGTTCTTTAGGATGCTCGCTCTTGGAAATGAAGTGGGAGTCTTGGAAAACAGCATTATCGTTCCGGTCTCGAGCTAGCTCCTAACAAAGCATTGGGTAGTGAGGTTACTGCAGCAACTTAGGTACTTGGAGAAATATATGTCTCCGCACAAGAAAATCTTCAATTAAATAGCAGCCCAATTCCTCTTTATATTAGCAAAAAAAGTTACTATTGAGGGGAAATGGGGGGAGGGAACTAGAACCATCACTGTCCAGAGATGTAAGCCAGTTTAAAAATTTAATTCCATAAACACAGGAAGCAAGGTGAAGTAACACTGTTCCTATTTTGGTTTGAGGATCTAGACATAAAGATTTAAGAAGAATGCAGTAAACAGACAAAGACTTTTGAATTTCTACAAATATACAGAAAAACATGAATGAAAAACTTGAAAGCAATGCCTCTTTTCAGTGTATATATATATTGTCCAGATATAGATAGTGCATGGCTTTCATATAAAGATCCATCTGCAGCCCACGCAAGATTTGTACATTTTCCCTAC